GTCTTGTAATTTTATTGAGGATGCATACATTTGCTATGATTCAATTGTATATTGATGGACAATTTGTCAACTATGGACATAAACTAGCCACATCGATAAAAAGTGGATCTGAGTTATGAGAGTTTGAATTTGACTCGTTTTATTATTATTAGGATGTGAATAGATTGTGAGTTTAAATGTTTAATTAGCTCTATAAAACTAGTACTTGGCACTGGACAAAGATGTTAAATTGTCAAGTTTTTGTGTATGCACTTAAAGAAAGCAGTTTACTGCTGAATGCTGTTGGGTATTTTGCAAATTTCAATTGAGCTAACATTCAAGGTTATATAGTTTTGGTAAATAACCCAAAAAAACAGTTCTGAAATAAAATATACATTTTATATATTGAATAGAGTATCGCAGTTGAATTGTATATATATATCCACATTGCTGTTGTAAAAAGAAAAACTAAAACAGGAATCAACTGAACACAAGCCTGAGTAACCAAATGCAGATACATACAAAAAGCTTTTTCTTCAGTTTACCAAATGCAGATAGATACAAAAAGCTTTTTCTTCAGTTTTTTCATACATTTTTTCCAGTTGATATTGTCGAAAAATACAAAGAATTGGGAGGGAAAATTTACAGAAACTATTACAAAATGCCGATAAAATTTACTGAATAGTACACAATCCATTGCCATCAAACTACACATACTATAAACACACGCACAAGGGTTTTAACTTTTGGCCGATCTTTTTCAGCAAATAAGCATGAACAAATATGGCCAATGAGATTACATAATCCGATCAATGAAAGAACCAATCTCTTCATATATAAAAACCGGGATAAAGCTAAAAGAAGGCCAGCATTTTAATTCTTTGATTGAGCTAAGAACCTGGGAACTTTCATGCCGAATCCATGCTTGGCCCTCTCTACCCTGTAAAAGTATCGAAAGTTATTAGTCTTTTTGAGGGATTTGTCAAATGATTGAAACAAAATCAACGACACATAGATTTGCGAAGTTTAAGTTTGGTGTTGAAATTAGTAAGAACTGCAGAAATTAGAGTTTAACTCTTTTTACAGATAAAGAAACATGGCTTGTTATCTTATTTAAAAAAGAAAATCAGGAAAAATAAAGAAAATAACAATAATTAAACATGTTATCTTTATATGATTTTGCCGAACCACGAAAATAACTAACAGGATCCAAGATTCTGAAGAAATGAAAAGGAAAAGGTCACATAGGAATAGCAAAGTTATCACAAAGTATCATAATAGATGAAACTGTAATAACACATTGGCACAAGAAACAGAAGCATACAGTTACATTAGCACATAATGTACAGACAAAAGAGATTTGATAAGTACAGAAATTGCTCACTAAGTGATTTTACCATAAAAATAAATCAGAAACACATATCAATATTACCTTTTTTGTCCAAACTGCTCTTCCTTAACACAGCCAACCAAAAATTATTATACACACATAATATTCAGAATATACAAATGCTCAAACTGGCCAATTTCAGGTTAAAACTCAACACCATATAATTATAGCATCAGAAGATTAAAGTCCAAGATTCGTACATGAAGAAATAAGCAGCAATTTTCAAGGCCGTGATAAGGATCACTTCACGATAATAACTAAAAATGGCAATTTTTCTTCGAACAATAAGCACAAAAAAAAAAAAAAAGAACTTACGTGGGGGCAAGTTTGCCTAAACCGTCAAGTTCTTCTCCGGTTTGTTCATCAACAACTCTCCCAGTAATCTCGATAGAGTAAGATCTGTTTCTAGTTATGGGAAGGCCTCGGCTAACAAGCAAATCGAGATCTTTCTGGTGAAGCTCACGCCCATTCACAAAAACTCCCGTATTCCCAGCAGCACAGTTATCGGGCATTGGATAATCGAATTCTTCAATATTTGGCTGCAATAACATCGAGCTTATTTACACTTGATGATCATAACGAAAGTACTATTTTGTTTTTTGTAAAGAAAAAATCTCACTTTAACTACTAAAAGAAGAAAAAAAAGGAAAAAAACACTTACCATGATTATACCAAGGCAAGGATGACCCATCACACCCCAAAATCCAGCGCGCTTATCGTACCTGGTTTTATTAAGATATTTGGGAAAGATCAAATAACATTTTTAGACCAAAAACGATAAGAACAACTTGATTAACTTTTAAGAGACGGCATACGAAAGCTACCATAATAATCTCAAAAGTAAAGAAGTACAAAAAAAATTAAAGTTGGACGAATAACATTCAGAAATCAGTATAACCACTAGAAACCATTAAGTCGAATGAACTGTTCTAATAGAGTACTCTCCTCTATGATGAGTTTTCCAACTGTAACAAATATTTTCCCCAAGAAAATGCTTCAGCTTAACATTACATAGCTAGTCCATTTCATGTTAATATTCGATAATTAATTAATAAAGCCATGTTTTCTCATTGTCCATTCAGTATCAAGGCATCTTCACAACTACCCCAAGAACAAAAGTTCGAAAATTTACCTCCTCTGCCACTAAAGATCCTTACACACACAAGTTCAGACAATTAGATAGATCAAAATTGCGGCTTTTTTATTGCCGGGTAGGCACTATAAATTGAATTCACATAGCGTCGCTGAAAAACTATAAACTGAAACAGAAATGCATAATTAATTAATATACATGTATAAATAAACATACACTTACCAGTATTCTCCGGGTTGAATTGGCCCGGCTAATTTCTCAGCCCTCTTAACCACACTATCAGGTATAAAATGCCCGTTTACATAAACCTGCAGGCCTCCGGCTTCTAAACCATGGTTAGGCTTTTTGAAGTCCTTGAGGCCCTTCTTGATAAGACCCGCAAAGAACGATTCCCCACCTTTATTAGCCTTGGGTTTATTAGCTTCTTTACTAATTTCCACCGAGTCCTGAGAGACACAGCTATTCGAAAACTCGTTCAAAGACACGTCCATTTCAGTTGCCACACCATCATCCTTCACAGATTTCTGCTGTGAAGCCGCCCGCTCGAGAGAAATCTTCTCTTGCTCGGGCCTTTGACTTTTGTTCCTTCGATCAAAACGGTTGACCGTTATATTCTTATCATCGGGAGGCAAATCATTATCTGGCGGCAAAGACTTCACTTCCATTCGGCCATCCTCAGAAAGACTCGAACCCGACGAAAGCTGATCGAGCTGCTTTTCGGACACGAGAGAGTTCTTCGACTTCTTGTCGTCAGTCGAAAAGATTCGAACTTGAAAAAAATCATCATATTCGTTATAGTGTTTGTTCTCTTCCAAAGTCCCGCTCGAACCATCGTCCATCTTCTTGGTCATTTCTTGGTCGACAGATGTCGACACAACAAACCCATTTTCCCCGAGTTCAAACACGATAATCGAGGAGCAAGCCCCACATTTCAGCTTCTGCTTGCTTTCGACCGATAAAACGCGCCTCCTTGGCATTTTAAGCACCTCGAAGCAATTACCGCACGCTATATAAGGCGCACCCCCAGCCACCGGGCGACTGGCTCGCCAGTTTTTATTATTTCCCGCCAAGAATTTCCTTGGCCGGTGGTAATAATAATTCAAACCGTCATTATCAGAATCCATGTCGTTAGAATTCACGGACATCGACTTATTCTGAGGGCCCCGTGCTCGTAAGTTCGACCTATGATCGGGATTATTAGATTTAGATGGTTCATTACGAAACCTTGGGTTGTGCTGCGGGCCAAGATGATCGGGCCCTTTAGGCGGGCCGGGCCAGCTCTTATCATAGCAATGCATGCAAGAGCATGCGGGCTGATGGAGAAAGTTTTCACGACGGTTCAACATGAAAAGATCGTGACTTTGACCGTGATACTGAGAGTACGGGCCGAAAGTAGGTCCATTATGGAGAATTTCGGGCTTGTTGTATGCACTTGAATAGTGCATGAACTCGTGTGGGTACCTCTTCTCATGATACGAGTCAACGGGACGTGAACTATACCTATCTGTTTTGTAAGGTACATATTCACGGGGCTCGACAAAATACTGTGAGCCCACATCATCATGAACGAGCGGCTGCTTATTCGGGTTTTCCGGGTAGTTATAAGACGATCGAGGTCTACCGTAAGGATCAGTGGACCTCTGCACGCTGGATTTGTCCGAGATTTCGCACGAACGGCTTATCTGATCTTTCAGCTCATCCAGCCTCCTTATGAGTTCGGCCCGCCCATTTTCCAAATCCTCTATCGGGCCTCGGTACATACTGTTTCTTTCACCTCGGTTGTAATAAGAGTCTGTTTCGTAACTTGACTGCCCCTCGTCAAAGTACGGGTAATCGCCGAACCTCATTTGTGGAGAGAAGTCTCTAGAAGTCCCGTAGCCCGGCCCAGAAGCTAAACCCCAGTGGTCCATAACGGGCCTCGGCCTCAATGGCTCGTCTGGAAGATGGATATATGCTGGGCCGCGATTGATAGGCGGATTTCTGTTAAGGTCTCGGGAGAATGGAGTGTACTTGTTATTATCAAGACTTTCGAAATTTCTAATCCTTTGTTTGCCTTGCCTGATTAGATTAGAGTCTGATTGTGCCTCTTTGCCTTCGGCTCGTGATGTTGAACTGTTGTTGTAAGCCACTCCTTTATGGGCTTCTTCTAATGTGTGAGCCTCAAAATTGTCTGAACCTTTCATTTTAACCTCGGAGGCTTCAACTATATTGGTTTCTTCCGGAATTTCAGCAAGGGGTATATCGGTCAGTCCATCTTCCAGAACCCCTTCCTGTTTTGCTGTGTAATCAAGATAAAAAAAACACTGATTAGTGAAGGTACACAAAGGAAAACAAGAGGAAGAAGAAAAGAAAATGAGGTAAATAAAATCACATGATTATGACATATTTGGAACCATTCGAACAACCTTATCCATATGAAATCTGCAATTACTAGTAAATAATCGTCTGAGCTAAACAAATGAAGGGAAAGTAGACCCAAATCCAAATCAAGCTCTTTCTTTAGGACATGTCATCATGAAAAAACACAATAATCATGCAACTGATAGATCAGACTCTATTCACACAATAATCAAAGAAGTGCCAAGATCCATGCCAGATTAGCTCAAATTTTCTAAAATGCAACAAGTGAAATAATTTTCACAAAGAAATACTACATAAGAGGTGTTGCAAAATCACACCTTTCACTGGGCTCAGGCACCAAATCAAGAATTTTCCCCAACACAGTGACAAATTCTTGTTCAACACACAACACACACAGTATTCACAGATAAAGGGACTGTACGAACTGTACCTTTAAGAACCGCACCACAGCCACCACACTGGTAGAGAGAGAAATCAGGGAGCTCAGGGAGGAGATTTTCACACTTGGGGCAACGTACCAGCCTGACATTAGCGGCTTGGGCCATTAATATATATTTATTTTATTATATTTTATTTATTTTTCACATGAAAGCACGAAACTTTATTTTAAATCCTAGTAGAACAGCCGGCCACCAAGACACAATAACTACAAAATTGATGAAATTTTCAACAAGTTAAAGTCAACTGAAATCTTGAAGCCCACAACACCCAAATCATCAATGCCAAAAAAATCCAACCAACCAAAAGAAAATAAGGAAAGATTAAAAATTGGCCAAATGGGTTTTTTCTTTGCTGGGTCAATGAAGTATAAATGCAGAAAACCGAGTACAATGGTCACACTCAAGGTGTGGGGCTGGTTGATTAGAACGCGAGCAGTAGAAAATTCTTAGCCCTTTTCTTTGTTGTCTGAATTTCTTTAGTTGTTACAGGGATATTTTGAGGAACAGTAAAAGTGTGAAGAGGTAGTACGAAGAAAACAAGGCTGGGACTTGAAAAATCAGGACTTGTACTGGTCTGTTTGGTTTTCTTGGATTTTATTTTATGCTTTTGTTTTTCAAAATTTTCTTTGTTTTTATGCTTAACTATTAACTGTGGAGACTGAGGTGGGTTTAATTGTAGTTCTTTGAATGAAAAGTGTGGGATTTTAAGCTAAAAGTAGCTACCGTTGGATTTTTGAAAAGAGAAAAGAAGAAAATGTGGAAGATAGTGATGAGTTTCTTTTTTGAAGAAATCATGGTAAATCAAAGGTATCTTGTGTATACATAATATAAAGATATAACGATTATGATTTAGAAATTGACTATTTTGAGCTAGATATAATATGTAGGCTGGAGCAATTGAGAATAGAGAATTAAGTTATTGAATGCGTAGTATTAATTGACTTTTAGTTCGAATTCTTACTGATTAGATTGGTTGAAAAAACAATCAATATTAACAAACATTGGTTTTTCAATTTTGCTTGGTAATAAAAATTGATTTATTTTTTTACTATTTGTATGAATTTATTTTTCATAAATAGAAAATTTAGAATAATTATATAAAATATTTTGAGGTGAATAAGAAATTAATTTTGAGCTAGGAATGAGCTAAATGTATGGAAATATTGAGTTAAAGTAGCTGATGTAGGCAGAAATGTGTGAATGGGAAAAGAGAGTTAAAACTCAAGAAAACTGATTTAATTCGAAGCAAGTCGGTCGGACCTGTGGGGCTTGCAGATAAATAAATCGAATCTCAGTCGAGCTATTTACCTTAACTTGCTAGACAAGAAAATAATTATTTTCCTAATTAAATAAAGTAAACAAGGGAAATAAAATAAATAGATAATGAAACAAATAAAATAAATATTCTAGAGCCGAAGAGGATTGTATTTCGCTAGTTACGCGAGTTCGATCTCGTCGCCATCAGTTGCTCAAAGTTAACTAAATTTGGGAATGAGACAAAACTTAGGAACGAGTGGCACGGTCAAACACTTAGGCTAATAGTGGAATTGCTCGATATTTGCAAAGATTCATGAGCGTTCAAGAACTGTCAGAACATGGGCTTGTCTGTGCAACGTTAAATCACAGGACGAGCTCTCCTAGTTTGAGGGGCACAACCATAAGCTCCCTAGTCGCGGTTGTCCACCAAGAGTGTCGGCTCAGCTAGTTATTTTTGTTTCCAACCAAATATGTCTCGAAAAATGTATTTCTTTTACCGTTGAATCACCTAGAGGTGATTTCCTACATGATTTTCTACAGTTAAAAATACAAAACTATTTAAAATATATTAATTTAATACTAAACAAGGATGATAGAGTGTATAACATCTTATGTTCTTTTGTTTTCGTTCATTTATTAAGAAACTTATAAACGAGTAAATTCACCGAAATCTTATGAAATTGGAAGTTTCACTATACACAAGATAAAAGCAATTGTACTGAAGATGTTGAAATCCACGAGCATCAATTGGTGACAATGATGTACTGAATAACGTGTTTCACGTATCTCGACTTTGATCAATTTTACATTTCTTTTATTCAAGTTCATTATTCTAAAATAATTGATTTCAAAATTCTTCGTAATTCATCTCGTGCCATTCATCGTCATTCTTAACAAATTGTCCATGGGTCGTCAAGTATGGTATGCTTTCATTTTCAAAAAAGAAAAATAAGTTCGCAGGCATATATCTTGATGGAAAATCAGTTGTGAAAAAACTTGGGTTTGACTCAAGCTTGACTGATTTTTTATGGCTAAAAATTTAGTTCGATTTGAATTAAATCGTGTAAAAAAAATCTACATTCCGAGCAAATAATCGTGGTATATTTATTTTCTCAAGATTGATTTTCGGTGAGTGAGAAATAAATTTTTAAAGTTAGGCATAAATGGACTCGTAAAATGATAGTTGTGGAATTTGAAGGGTCAAGAGTCTTATCCCACATTAGACTCCTAAATAAGATTAACTCTCTTTACTATAGTAAAGTGAGTTGGAGAGATCATTACAACAACAAAGCTATGCACCAAGTGTCGCTGATGGCTTCGGCTACACGCGCGTGTGCCCGTCAATCGGCTCGGCTCAGACGCGAGCCTTGGTCCTTGAACTCGAGTTTTGACCCAACTCCTGTGAAACCTCTCTAGGTACACTGAATGTATACGTGTGGCCTTCCATTTGATCGTTTTGGTGGTTATCAATAGAATAAAGGTGAGTTAACACCTAAAAAAAGGGCCGACCATTTTAAACCTTAATCATGGTTGGGCTGTTACCTGCCTTTAATAGCAAGTGACTTTTGGTGATCCCCTACATGATTGGAATTTCTATAAATATGACAATATAGAAGCTACAGAAGGAACACAAGACATACAAAGGCATCTCACTCTCTCTGAAAGTCATACACATCATATCATATACATTGCTTAGTTCTCGACTGTTCGTATTTGTCAGAACTTTAAAATTTGGTGTGTTATAGCTTCCGAGTCAATAGTCGTTGTATCTTTAAGGACAAGATGCACAGACCCGTTAGCACTATACGAATCGTCTTTGACTTGTGAAAAGAGTTTACTCGCCTTAACTTTAATATTTCCGTTCTCAAATTGTAATTTGCTTTCAGTTTTAGTTCATATTGTAAGAATTGACACTTCAGTTTATAAGTTTCCGTGTATTAAAACACTCACTTTGTGACAACATATCCAACATGTTGAAGATAGACTTCCTCAATTTGAATGCCGGTTTCGTTCTTAATAATATTCCCCTCGATATGGATATAAATCACATTTTAGTTTTATAAACTTTAGAAATTGGTGATTTGTTAAGTAACCCGCACGTTTTCTTTCTGGTGTGGTCTATTAGTGAGATGTGAAGCCTTGGAGTATGTTTGGTACCAAATGTACTTTTTCAATGAAATAAATTATGCCTTAAAATATTTGTTCGGTGTAAAAAATGGCCAACCCCTATAATTAGATTTAAGTATATTCATTAGAACTTTTATGGGATATAAACTCAGGCCAACTCCTATAATTAGATCAAAATTCTATGCATCAGAACTTTATGAGATATGGATTCAAAGTTAAATTAATAATCTGAATTACTCATCTCAGAGTTATTGACCACCAAACAAAATTTTAAAGAAAGCTAAATGAAATCCATAAACTACATATATAAAATAAAATATTTAAAAGACATTGAAATACTAAAAAAGAACAGTGAATAGGTGGAATTTGGGTCCATGCTTGGATTTGAAAGGGAGCTTTTTTCACTCGATTTGCGAACGAGAAATTTGACACTATTGGTGTTGTTAACATGTTACCCAACTTTTATTATTGGATCTCACATTTATACTTATATATATATGTATATTGATTTAATAATAATTTTATTTTACCATAACTCTTTCAGTTGGCACAAATTTAGTTTTATAACATTTAGTTTATATTATTGTTTATAATTATATCAACACACATACATATATGTATGTATATATTGATTGAACGATAAATGTGTGAAATATTCCTTAATTTTTTTATGTTTTGTAAACTTTTGTTGCATTCACATATTACTTTCTTATAGCCGGTGGGCCCACCCAACGGCGTAGTTTGGTGGTGGCTAAAGCTACATTACGGCGTCGTATTAATAGGGACTTTTGTCAAAAGCTGCCTTACCCAAAAAAGCAAAAGGAAAATGCAGCCGTGTTTGGCAAAACCCACAAAGATCCAGTCCTATTCAATTTTCCCAATGTACTGCTTAAAACACTTTATCAGTCAAAGAAAGCAAAGGGAGGGAATATGTAGTGTTCATTTACCAAACAGTCCCTTATGTCTATTTCTTTTTTTCTTTTTCTTTTTTTTGTACATCAAGATTAGTCATTTTCATGTTACTTTATTGGACGTGATTTCTAGGAGAATATTAAAAAATTAAAAGAGGATTTGTTAAGTATCATGAACTAAATTTTTGAAAATGATTATCAAGTGTGTATTTTTAAGGGAAAATTCTATTACAGGGCTTGACTTTTTTTACTGTGTCATAATAAGACTTGAATTTTTAATTTTTTCATTTGAGGGTTTCAATTATAAGTTATTGTCAATATAAGACCTACTTTTACATTCTACTTTTCAATTGAAAATTTCAAATCATTTTGTAGTTTGATACAATTGTGTAAACCATAATACACTTTTTAAATATATATATATATATATATATTTTTTTTAAATAATTAGAAAAAATTAATTTAATAAGAAAATCAATTCAAATAAGAAATATATTTAGTGAAATACTTTAATAAGAAAATTAATTCATTTAAGCTAAATTTATTTTGCATAAATGTAACTAATTTGTATTAATTTTTTTACGAAGCTGGCTTTACAAATATATTTAATACTTTTATTATAGGCGTTAATTAATTTTATATAAAAATATGAATTTTATTCACAAATAATATTCTCTATAAGTTTATTTTAAAAAAATAAAAGTATTATTTTTTAAATATCTTATATTTTAATGTTATCATATATTTTGATTAAAATTAAGTTAAAAATTATTTTTTAACTTTTATAACAAATTTCATTAAGCTTTTGCATAGATGTAAATTGTGAAACAAATATTTTGTTAGGTAATATTATTAAAGATATGAAAAAAAAAACAAAAGAATTTTTTTTACTAAAGATATTTAATATTTTTTATTATAAGTACTTAAATAAAAAAAAAAATTAAATGAGTATTGTGGTTTATATAATTATATCAAAATACAAAGTGATTTGGAGTCTTAAATTGAAATGTAGAATGTAAAAGTAGGTCTTATATTGATAATAACATAAAATTGAAATCCTCAAATGAAAAAGTTGAAAATTCAGGCTTTATTGTGACACAATAGCAAAAAGTCAAGCCTTACAATAGAATTTTTCCTATTTTTAATATTTAATTTTGATGTGACATTATATGTTATAGATTTTGGTGCATAAGTTAAAACATAAGAATATAACATGCTTCCAATTTTATTTTTTATTCTCTAATGACTAATATTTTTAGTAGGCTGGAATTAATTTTTTTAATAAATANACTAGCTTTCCCACTCCAAACATCAAGTTAGATTTAGTTATGTTTACTTGCTTGCTAGAAGGAAAGCAAATCTCCAAAAATATTGTATAATAAATCATGCATAGATTCATTGGAGAAATATGTGGACATATGTTAACCATCTATACGTGTTGGAAATCAAATAAATTGACTTAATTTTGTGACGTGCATTGCACCAGTCACAATATTAAACTTACATT